TCAGTATTTTTAAATGACAATTTTTCCTACAAATCGCAGATTAAAAATCTCATAACTCAGCCAAAAATGCATTAATTTTAATTCGGAAAGCTTTCCTATGCTTGTTTTTTATATGTTAACAAATCTGCATACTCAGTTAAAAACGTAAAAATTTGGCAATTTTTGAAAATTTTAATGATGGTACCCCTTATCTTTTTTTGCAAAAATCGATCAAATTGAAAAAAAATATTTTTTCTTAATTTATAGCTAGTTCGACTCGCCTTTTTATGCTGATCAAGAATATATATGTTTTATGGGGTCGGAAATGACTCCTTCACTGCATTATAAGCTTCTGACTAAATTTATAAAACCATTCTTTGTTCACGATTATATGACAATTTTTTTCTTCTAATTAAAGATTAAAAATCTCATAACTAAACCAAAAATGTACTAATTTTAAATCGGAAAGCCTTCCTGTGTTCGTTTTTAACAGGCTAACAAAACTGCATACCCCGTATTTTATTTTAAAAACATAAATTGCTTAAAATTAACAGCATTCTTTGAGCAGGTATATTTATATATTTTTTATATGACTATTTTTTTCTACAAATCGCAGATTAAAAATCTCATAACTCAGCCAAAAATTTAGTAATTTTAAATCAGAAAGCCTTTCTGTGTTCCTTTTTTAAAGGATAACAAATCTGGATACCCAGTTTTTATTTTTAAAAACATAAAATAACTAAAATTATAATAGCATTCTTTGAGCAGGTATATTTATCAGTATTTTAAATGACAATTTTTTCCTACAAATCGCAGATTAAAAATCTCATAACTCAGCCAAAAATGCATTAATTTTAATTCGGAAAGCTTTCCTATGCTTGTTTTTATATGTTAACAAATCTGCATACTCAGTTAAAAACGTAAAAATTTGGCAATTTTTGAAAATTTTAATGATGGTACCCCTTATCTTTTTTTGCAAAAATCGATCAAATTGAAAAAAAATATTTTTCTTAATTTATAGCTAGTTCGACTCGCCTTTTTATGCTGATCAAGAATATATATGATTTATGGGGTCGGAAATGACTCCTTCACTGCATTATAAGCTTCTGACTAAATTTATAAACCATTCTTTGTTCACGATTATATGACAATTTTTTTCTTCTAATTAAAGATTAAAAATCTCATAACTAAACCAAAAATGTACTAATTTTAAATCGGAAAGCCTTCCTGTGTTCGTTTTTAATAGGCTAACAAAACTGCATACCCCGTTTTTTATTTTAAAAACATAAATTGCTTAAAATTTAACAGCATTCTTTAAGCAGGTATATTTATATATTTTTTATATGACTATTTTTTTCTACAAATCGCAGATTAAAAATCTCATAACTCAATCAAAATTTAGTAATTTTAAATCAGAAAGCCTTTCTGTGTTCCTTTTTTAAAGGATAACAAATCTGGATACCCAGTTTTTATTTTTAAAAACATAAAATAACTAAAATTATAATAGCATTCTTTGAGCAGGTATATTTATCAGTATTTTTAAATAACAATTTTTTCCTACAAATCGCAGATTAAAAATCTCATAACTCAGCCAAAAATGCATTAATTTTAATTCGGAAAGCTTTCCTATGCTTGTTTTTATATGTTAACAAATCTGCATACTCAGTTAAAAACGTAAAAATTTGGCAATTTTTGAAAATTTTAATGATGGTACCCCTTATCTTTTTTTGCAAAAATCGATCAAATTGAAAAAAATATTTTTCTTAATTTATAGCTAGTTCGACTCGCCTTTTTATGCTGATCAAGAATATATATGATTTATGGGGTCGGAAATGACTCCTTCACTGCATTATAAGCTTCTGACTAAATTTATAAAACCATTCTTTGTTCACGATTATATGACAATTTTTTTCTTCTAATTAAAGATTAAAAATCTCATAACTAAACCAAAATGTACTAATTTTAAATCGGAAAGCCTTCCTGTGTTCGTTTTTAACAGGCTAACAAAACTGCATACCCCGTATTTTATTTTAAAAACATAAATTGCTTAAAATTTAACAGCATTCTTTGAGCAGGTATATTTATATATTTTTTTATATGACTATTTTTTTCTACAAATCGCAGATTAAAAATCTCATAACTCAGCCAAAAATTTAGTAATTTTAAATCAGAAAGCCTTTCTGTGTTCCTTTTTAAAGGATAACAAATCTGGATACCCAGTTTTTATTTTTAAAAACATAAAATAACTAAAATTATAATAGCATTCTTTGAGCAGGTATATTTATCAGTATTTTTAAATGACAATTTTTTCCTACAAATCGCAGATTAAAAATCTCATAACTCAGCCAAAAATGCATTAATTTTAATTCGGAAAGCTTTCCTATGCTTGTTTTTTATATGTTAACAAATCTGCATACTCAGTTAAAAACGTAAAAATTTGGCAGTTTTTGAAAATTTTAATGATGGTACCCCTTATCTTTTTTGCAAAATCGATCAAATTGAAAAAAAATATTTTTTCTTAATTTATAGCTAGTTCGACTCGCCTTTTTATGCTGATCAAGAATATATATGATTTATGGGGTCGGAAATGACTCCTTCACTGCATTATAAGCTTCTGACTAAATTTATAAAACCATTCTTTGTTCACGATTATATGACAATTTTTTTCTTCTAATTAAAGATTAAAAATCTCATAACTAAACCAAAATGTACTAATTTTAAATCGGAAAGCCTTCCTGTGTTCGTTTTTAACAGGCTAACAAAACTGCATACCCCGTTTTTTATTTTAAAAACATAAATTGCTTAAAATTTAACAGCATTCTTTGAGCAGGTATATTTATATATTTTTTTATATGACAATTTTTTCCTACAAATCGCAGATTAAAAATCTCATAACTCAGCCAAAAAATGTAGTAATTTTAAATCAGAAAGCCTTTCTGTGTTCCTTTTTTAAAGGATAACAAATCTGGATACCCAGTTTTTATTTTTAAAAACATAAAATACCTAAAATTATAATAGCATTCTTTGAGCAGGTATATTTATCAGTATTTTTAAATGACAATTTTTTCCTACAAATCGCAGATTAAAAATCTCATAACTCAGCCAAAAATGCATTAATTTTAATTCGGAAAGCTTTCCTATGCTTGTTTTTTATATGTTAACAAATCTGCATACTCAGTTAAAAACGTAAAAATTTGGCAATTTTTGAAAATTTTAATGATGGTACCCCTTATCTTTTTTTGCAAAAATCGATCAAATTGAAAAAAAATATTTTTTCTTAATTTATAGCTAGTTCGACTCGCCTTTTTATGCTGATCAAGAATATATATGATTTATGGGGTCGGAAATGACTCCTTCACTGCATTATAAGCTTCTGACTAAATTTATAAAACCATTCTTTGTTCACGATTATATGACAATTTTTTCTTCTAATTAAAGATTAAAAATCTCATAACTAAACCCAAAATGTACTAATTTTAAATCGGAAAGCCTTCCTGTGTTCGTTTTTAACAGGCTAACAAAACTGCATACCCCGTATTTTATTTTAAAAACATAAATTGCTTAAAATTTAACAGCATTCTTTGAGCAGGTATATTTATATATTTTTTTATATGACTATTTTTTTCTACAAATCGCAGATTAAAAATCTCATAACTCAGCCAAAAATGTAGTAATTTTAAATCAGAAAGCCTTTCTGTGTTCCTTTTTTAAAGGATAACAAATCTGGATACCCAGTTTTTATTTTTAAAAACATAAAATACCTAAAATTATAATAGCATTCTTTGAGCAGGTATATTTATCAGTATTTTTAAATGACAATTTTTTCCTACAAATCGCAGATTAAAAATCTCATAACTCAGCCAAAAATGCATTAATTTTAATTCGGAAAGCTTTCCTATGCTTGTTTTTTATATGTTAACAAATCTGCATACTCAGTTAAAAACGTACAAAAAATGGCAATTTTTGAAAATTTTTTGCAAAAATTGGGAAAAATTTGTTTCTTAACGTATAGCCATACCCTGGCGAGGATATAAAAATACGAAGTGACTCTGTGAGCGAGCCTTCTTTTTGCCTGATTTATTTTGAAAATATTTTTCATAATTTGTGGATGAAATATACACAGACACCCGGTAACAAGCCCATGTCACCACAGGACATGAGTGCGTGTACGCATATTTGTCCTTTTGGCAGGACACGCAATACACTTTTGGAATTAATTAACGCAGCCCAGACGAAGCCGAAAAACCACTCCACCATCCACATCCCCAACCGAAACCCAAACCCAAACCCAAAACAGAAAACAAAGCAATGGCATGTGTGGAGTGGCCTGTGGTGCGGGAAGGATGGATCGCTGGATGGATGGATGGATGTGTGTGCGCCTGTTTGTTTGTCCACATCCTGCGGCGAAACTTGTCACAGACTAATTTCGTGTCTCAGCTCATAAATTGATATTAATGAGCCGCTGCCGCCCCCGTCCACGAATCATTTTTCGCGTTTGCCTAACGAATATTTAACTTTCGGTTCGTTTCAGTTCAGTTTCGGTTTGGTTTGCTTCGTTAGATTCCCACTGACAGTTACAAAGTGGCAGTCAAGTAGATGCGTAATTCAAGCAGGACACCCAGCGATGTCCTGCGGCTCCCACGACATGAGTTGGCATTCAAATGAACATGTGTGCTCACCGTCGTGTCCTCCCAGGAGAGAATGTGTAGCGGCGAATTGAATGAATCATTTTGTGTGTTTGCCACAGGAAAACGTAGTCGAAATTCAAAACAAATATGTAAATTCATTAAAAGCATTTTCTAGAACATAATTGAGTGAGAAACCTAGACAGTTTTCTGCTGTACAAAAATATTTAGTTTACTAATTTATAGCCTAAAGAGTTTCAAGAGTTTTTCTAGCGAAATATCGAGAGCTCAAGAATACTCAAACAGTACACTTTAAAATGTAAATGTATGATATTATTAAAACAATATGTACGAGTTCTTCATTACATTTAATAGCTGTTACATAGAAATCCTAAATTCCAATATAATGAATACATTTTAACATAAACATTTTCCATAGTAACTTCATATCTTCAGTAATCCTTTTGTCATTCTTTTTCCTATTTATAATTATCTAGTTGATGTCTGCATCCTTCGTTGTAGCTCCTGCATATACTTAATGGTCGTTTCGGGCGACATGCCATCTTCTTCAATGGAGTTGTCTTGAGAGTTCTCGAAGGTATTAGTAGTCTGGAGCGGCTCGGAATCAGAATCCACATCCGATGACTCCATCGCTTGATCTCCCTCTTCATCGCTAGTATTATTGAAAGGGTCTATAGACTTTTGTGTCTTATTTTTTGTCTTTTTGGAATCCTTGTGTGACGTATTTTTGTTTCGGATGGGCGAATCATCATCTGACCCCTCCGATTCATTTTCATCAGAGTCTATGAACTCTTTGCTCTTGTATCTATCGGGTTTCTTTGGAGTATCTTCTTTTGTTTTCTTTTTCTTCCCCAATTTATCCCCCTTTGCTAGAGAACGCTTTCTCTTTTTACCCTTCCGTTCTTCGCCTTCGTTCTGCTCTTCATCCTGTTTCTTGGCCACTTTCTCCATCTTATGTCCGGGCTCTCTTGGTGCCTTTAATAGTTTCTTTGTGCGATCCAGGACTTCCCGGCGCTTGGCCATCTGCTGCTCCCGCTCTAAACGTTCCTTCTGGAGTTGTTCCTGTTCCTCTCTTTGCAGCTCCTCCCTCAGGCGGAGGCGTTCCCCATCCAGGACCTCTAGCTCCCGCACACGCTCCAATTCGATGGGTAGTTTGGCCAACAAATCTTGACAGATGTTGGCCTGCTTGGCCGCCTCCCTTTGCGGCACTTGAGTTTGATCTTCATACTCGGCAAGGTGGTCGAAAAATCTAAACAAAAATATTTAAATTGTTACTAAAATTATGATTATTGTCAAGTTAATTTCTTATTTCACCGGTAAGCCACTTCCAGCTCCACTTCAGCCTTCACAAGATCCAATAATTTACCACGCGCATGTTCCACCATCTGCTCAGTGTCCTCCCGGATGGCCAGCCCTAGATTGTACATCACCACGGGATCGTGGGGCGCCTGGTGACGCGCCTTGAGGAGCCACATTTTCGATTCGGCGGCATACCCCGAGAGATACAGAGCTTTGGCAAGTCCCAGCATTATTTCCATCGAAGGTTGGAACAGGGTACTTTGCTCCAGGCACTGCATGTAGACCTCAATTGCATCCTGGTATTTGCCCAATTCCAGGGTCATGTGAGCCAAGTTCAGGATGGCCGAAGGGTGGCACATTTTGCCGGCCTCAACGACTTGCTTAAAGACCGCTTCGCCGGCGGACCTGCGATTACGAATGCTCAAGGCAGCACCTATGCCATTGCCGGCCCACAAATTTCGGGGAGCTCGCTCAAGGGACTGGCCAGGATGGAGAAATACATACGTATATAGGATTTTGCCATTATACACATTTATATGTATAAATGCCTACCTTGGCAAAGAAAAGCAGAGCCTTCTGCTGATGCCTCTTGGCTGATTCATTATCGCCTGTGGCTAAGCTTCGTTGAACGCTCCGCAGGCACACATTTCCCACCGTCACCAGGGTGTACGAATTCACCTTGTCTTGCATGGGTTGGTTGAGGATCACATTGAGGGAGTGCATGGCCTGGGTGGTGAGGCCCAGGGTTAAATAAATGTTGGCCAGACAGGTCCTGCAAGGGATGGGGGTAACATATAGGAGGAGAAGAACGAGGATATTAACCCACCCACCTGGCTGCCAGGTTGTCATTGTCATGCTTCAGCACATCCTTGAAGTAGTCGATGGCCATAATCTTATCGTTCTGTCGCAGAGCCATCACCCCCAGGCGCAGATAGCAATCAAAGTAGTTGGGATACTCGTCGACAAGGTCCTTGTAGGCAATCGCCGCCAAATCGCACCGATGCAGATCCTCGAGAATGCGACCACGATTGAAGCGCAGGGTGAGCATATTTGTCTCGTTGTTGTCGCCACATTTGGTCGCACTCAGAGCCAAGGCTTCGTCGATGGACTCGATGGCCTGCTGAGGCATTTGGGCCATCTTCTGAAGGATGGCCACATTGTTGAGCCACTCGATGGGATATTGGTCGCCGCGGCCGCCGTAGATCTGCATGGCCTGCTGATAGGCCTCGATGGCTTGCTTCCACCGCTGCTTCTGCTCATAGGCCAGGGCCAGGCTAAGCCAGATGTCGTAGTCCCCGATACTGGAGGTTTTGCGGGATTCCACCACCTTGAGCAGCAGCTTGATGACATCGTCCATCCTCTTCTCGGCCAGATATATTTTGGCCAGCAATCGCGTGGCATCAATCTGATTGGGCATGACCTTCAGTAGGATTTCCAGACCGGCCTTGGCCTTACCCAGTTCACCCCGCCTCAGGTTCATCTGGGCCAGGCCAAACTGAGGCAGGACATAGCCCTCGGGGGCCAATTTCACGGCCAGCGTGTAGAAATCCATGGCCTGATCGTACTGCTGGGTGGCATGGAAGCTCCTGGCTATCTGAAAGCAATTCTGCGACTGAAGCAGGGGAATATCGGTGAGCACATACGAGTTTCCCGCCAGAGTCTGGGTATTGTAGTAGTCCCTCACATAGTAATAGTGAGAGGCGAGAATGTTGAGAACCATCGGGTTGCGAGAATTAAGCTCATGTGCAGCGCACAAAAGATTAATGCCCTCCCTTATTGGTCCCTTCTCGCGCTTATTGAGCTTCAGGATGGCCATCCCAAGCAGGGCGTTCTGGCACTTTCCATTGTGCTCCAAGGCCAGCTCGAAGGAGCGTCGAGCGCTGTCCAGGTTACCCAGTTTCAGGAAGCAATGGGCTATGCCCACACGAACGTTTGCCGGTCCGCGGGGCTGGTGCATCAGGACGCTCTTGAAGAATCCCAAAGCCGCAATATAATCCTGGCGATTGTAGGCCAAACAGGCGCGTCCAATTAGCCCCGGAATATTGCTGGGCACATGCCGGAGAGCGTTAACAAAGTATCCATCGGCCTCGTGGGCCCGTCCTGGGGTTAGCATCAGGGCATAGCCCGTGATCACGAGCAGTTGGCGGTCCTCGGATCGTTTCATCCCATCCAACAGACGGAGGATATTTGTGACCTTGGCCTGCAAGGCGGTCTTACGACTGCCCACCTCTTTGTAGGCCTGCCTGGTGAAATGGGCCGCCAGCAGGATATTGGCCTTGGCCAGATCATCCTTGTAGAAGGCATAAGTCCGCAGGCATCCGGCAATGGCTGCCTCCAGCAGATACACAAAGTTATCAAAGTTGCAACGCGAGTAGTAGGCCAGCTAAGAGGCAAGAATTGAGTGCGGTTTCCTTGGGTTTAGGTTCCAAACTCACCGCCTTCTGTATCCAAGTGCGCAGGTTCTTTTGCTGCACACAGATTCCGGTTAGGTCATCCGGGAGATCGTCTTCCATCTGCTTTTCGGACGCCACAGGCGCTCCTTTTTGACGATACATTTTCACTTTGCAATATTTCACACGAAATCTAAATATTTTTCACACACACACACACACTGGGAAGGCAATAGTGTTGCCAGACAATTAAACAACACCAGCTTTTTACAAAACAGGACTGTACACTGTACACTTTTAACGCAAGTGTTGCCAGAACTTGAAAAGCACCGTCTGTTTGGTAAGAAATTGTACTTTTGGCATCTATTTTTTACACTTCATAAACAAATTAGAAGCCTCGAAATTAAACATATTGAAAGCTTAAATCATTAAGCCAAAATGGTTTAGTTTTTTTTTGTAAGCAATAGCTTTTAAAAATGTTTATCGATAAATATCAATTAAAAGTCTCTAGAATGGTAATTTTTGAAAACTTCTCGGAGACATATGTTGGGCAAACGGCGATTGACAGTTAAAAGTCATATATTTTCTGAATCGTTTTTAAAATATCAATTCAATAATAATAAAATAGTGAACAAAAATTTAAAATAATTTTTCACCAATATTTCAACATTTTAAAAGTTACATCGTTAAAATTTTCAAAAAATCGAAAATTTTGAAATATTTTAAATTTGCAAACCTTATATGCAGATTTGTTAACCTAATTAAAACTAACATAGAAAAGTTTTCCGAAAGGAAATTAAGGGTGTTTTGTCTTAGTTATGGGTTTTAGAAAATTTGATTAACGCACCAAAATTTTAACGATTTCAAAATGAATATCAAATTAGTCTGTCCCTTTAAATTTATCACAGATTTATTTAGTACCTTGGAGTTATTTGTTGATATTTTAATAAAACAGTTCTATATCTATCTAAATCATTGATTGATCCATTAGTTTGACACTTGAACTGAACCTAATAATTTGTTAAATTGCATGTTCAATGTCAATGCCAGATTGAAAATCACTTCGATGACGCAAATTACAATGATTGGCTTGGGGCTAGAGGGCCACTTACGCTTTCTGTTTGAGCGTAATTATTTCATGATTCCCTTTTGACTCGATGTTCGACTACCGCGATTATCAAAGCACTTGCTTTTTTTTTTGCTTGTCACCAAACTTGACCCAAAAGGTGCAGACAAACAATCAAGCTCTCATTACCTGTCTGTCCGGCTGTCTAGCTGTCTGTAAATTCCACACCGCCTCCTTTGCTATTTGTTGACGGAGTGTAAAAATAAACAAACATTCGGGCGAACAATGCTAATCCATTCGATACGGAATGCTTGGAGGATTAGCTACCAATTCCACATCCGCATGTTGTGTACAGGTAACTTGTTCTTGGCCTTTGGGTATAAATACTCGAGTTTTGGTGGAGAACAGCATCAGTCAACGCACTTTCAATCTTCAAGAACGTTCGTCGAACACCAAACAAAACACCAAAATCAACATGAAGGTGAGTTGAGTGGGTTTGTAGCTTTAAAGAGAAGTCTAGGATGTTCTAGAGAGTCCTTTTTGAGGGGTTTGTGATATTGCCAATTATCAAATGAATCCTCTTGAAGTTTTACCAATTTTTCTTGAATTAATATTCTATATCCTTAATTCTCAATTTTTAGTTCCTCATCTGCTTGGCCCTCTTCATTGCCGCTGCCCAGGCTCATGTTGTGGCACCTGCCGTTGCCACCTATGCCGCTGCTCCGGCCTTGACTTATGCTGCTTCTGCTCCTGTCACCACCTATGCTGCCGCCCTGCCCCGCACCTACTCCACCTATGCTGCCCCCTCAGTCTATGCTGCTCCCTCGGTGTACTCCGCCCCCTCGGTGTACTCCGCCTCCTATGTGGCCTCGCCCTCGGTTTACTCTACCTATGCCGCCCCAGCTGTTGTCTCCACTCTGCTCAAGAAGTAAAGGTGATCAATGATATGATATGATATGATATGATATGAAATGTCGATAACTTTGTCAATGATTTTCCAATAAATAAAGCTGTGAATGTATAAAGAAGGATATATGTAGAATTATTTGGAAGAGATTGGGTTTACACAAAAATGAAATATAGATTTTGAGGGAAAATTTCATCAGTTTTGAACAGTTTTCATAGCAGCTTATACTTCCTATAAGAATTAGTAAATTTTTCTTGAAATAACTTGAACCTTCTGCTGCCAAAATATCAAATAACAAATATATATATAAATTCACTGAAAAGGCTACAGTAATCTCCGCTTTCTTCATTCTACTGAAGGCCATAAAAGGAGACAGGACCCTTTTCGTAAGCCAATTCAACACCCACACACACAGTCAGTGCAAAAGGAACTCCTCTGTTTACGGTTAATTCGTTGGCATAAATATTTTATTTAAACTTGGTTTTGCTGGCCCCCAGTTTAGAGCCCTGGCATGTGGGCCATGTTATGGCATCCGCCTGCCCGTTAATGTTATGCAAATGAATTACGACTCAACTGGGCTAGCACTAAGGTGGCGTCAAGCTCAGGCACGTGGCCAAGAATATAGCATATATATATACATATGCGTATGCCCACATGTCACATAATCCCCAGCATAAGCATGGAACATGAACAGGACTACGAAACGGTTAGGACTCTCGCCTGGAGTTGAGCTTAGTACTTCTCCTACACTCCAGCTAGTTCCAGCAAGTAAATTTATTGATTGTTTCGTAATGCACTTAGAGCAGGGAAATCCTTCTTTTCGTTTCCCGACACGACGATTATGCAGAGCAACAAAAGTTTTTCCCGCTACATTTCCGGGGAGTACAAAAAAAAAAGTAAAGAGAAGTAGGAAAAGTTTAGCCTAAATCACTTAGACCTCAGCCCCGAAAAACAAGTGTCGGCATGTCGGCTAAATCAGGGAAAAGTCAGCCCGTGTGGGTGGAAAACTTTTGGCAAGTTTCCTAACAAAAACAGCAGTCAAAAGTTGCCAAAATCGAGATGCTATTTCATCTACGGATATGGTAAACGGGTGCCCTTTTCCCTTCCCTACAGGAAAATCCTAAATAATTAATCAACATTTTACTACAACGTTTGTCCAAGTAAATATTTAATTAACCATTTTGGCAATGACATTTTGAAAATATGCACGGCAGAGGCATTCAGTCAGTTATCTCCTTGGCAAATAAATTATTTAAAAGTCAACACAGAAATTAGAGACAGAGAGTTGTCTTTGGTGTCGGGTGGAAATAGATGGAAAATAATGCATAACTCATGAAGAATGACTCGGCTGGCAAATTGCCGGGCAATTAAGTGACCAGAACGCACCGAGGATGGTAAGTGAGGGATTATTTGTGTAACTGTTATGGAAAACAAACAGAAATAAACAAACAAATTGGCTGGAATCAGTCGGATTTGAAACCTTTTGTCCTCCTCTTCAGACGCTGTCAGAAGCTTGTTTGCTCTCCTCGCATTTCCCAGCTCTTTTCCTTTCTTTTTTTTCGTGTGGGTGACAAGGACGTGACAATCCTGACAGAAGTCGCCATTGTCAATGGCATTTTCAGCGAGACAAAAGGGTGGAAAACCAGAAGCGAAGCCTCCCTGTTGCGACATCTTCCTGCCACTTGAGACGCAGCCAAATGCCCCAGGATGTGTTTGATATGCACTCCAGCCTGGCATCCTGGCATCCCGGCAGCCTAAGCTTAATTATGAGCTGGCAAGGACAAAACAATACAACAATATTGTATATAACAAACAAGTTCCTTGCTGGGGAAATGAATATCGGATCAAATCTACTTGTTAAAAGCCGCTTTTGCCAATCGATTTGAATCGACGCATCCTCTCAAGTGTCCTGCTGCAGCAGGAGTCGACGGAGGCAAGGCTCACAATTCAATTCAATTCCGCTGCATTATTATTTCATATTCCTGTTGTGAAGGGAAATGAGAACGGACTATTGCCATGGCAGCGCCAGAAATTGCCTTTTGATTGATAATTCCGGCCAGCAGATTATGCCACTTGCTTTAAGTATAGCTTCACAAATATCTTCAAGTTATTCCACTATTTAATTGAGAATACATATAATGTATTTGTGGGTTTATGAATAATGTACAGAGGGGATTTTAAAGCTGAGAATTTCATGTGCTATTAAACAGGTGTGCCCAGAAGTGGTCAATAAAATATTAGTAAATATTACCAACTTTTTCCAAAGAAACATGTACTAATTTATAGCAATAAGAACACCTTAAGCAAAAGCTTGAGAGACCTAATTTATAATAAATGTGCATATTATATCTATTCCCCACTGGACTTGACTTGCACACAACTCAAAAGGCTCCCTGAAAAACCTGAATTACATCGCAGAATATACATAAAACTGCAAAACTTTCAGCTTTGTGTTTAAATTAATAATACATTTAGTCAGTTTTCGTAGAACTCGTCCTCTTTCCTCTGCAAACAAACTAAAATTAACTAAAAATGTTGAGAGAAGCAGCAGCAGCAGAAACATTAAGCAAACAGCCGAAAAGTATGCTTCAACTTTTGGGGCATTACATAAATTTCACACACTGTACACACCCACACACATACTACACACAACCAGTCAGTGCTAGAAGCAACAAAAGCACATTAAAGCTTAGATAAAGGGAGAGAGCGGAGGAAAAAGAAGCTAGCAAACAACCATAACATTTATCACGAACACTTAAGTTGCCACCAAAAATAAAGGGGGGAAAAAACACCGAAGGGGAAAATCAAGGAAAATCGCACATTATATCAAGGCAAAAACGGGGGTGGGCTGCGGGGGGGCAGTTTGTTAAATCAATTTGATAAACTGTCAATAATGAGAAATAATTTAATGCGCAGCCTCCTCGAATGGCAAGGCTGCGAAACAGATTTCCCTCGACTCATCGTCATAAGCAATTATGATGAACTTGAGCTGGCATTTCCCCATCCCCCACCAACCACCTAGTTTTCCACCATTTTCCTTTGCCTCAGCGCTGTGTTTGCTATTAGCACTTGCTGAAGTTGGGACAAATTTTTGGTTACTTGGACAAGCGAAAGCCGAGATTTATCAAAGATATCACCGAGATGGACCAGTCAACAATAACGCAAAGTGTCAACACAAGAGACTAGAGGGAAAACTGGCTAACGGAGAGGAAGAAGATGAAGAGGAAAAGCCGTATAAGCAGATGAAGAACCAAAAGCAAAGGCAAAAGCAAGGCAACCAGATAACAATGGCCAAAAATGGCAGCAAAAAGCACTGCAGGAAAAGTTGCTAAAGTAAATTTGTTAAGTAACAAAATAAAGGAAACTAACTACATAATTATTGGTATTTTTATATAAGAATTTTTTGAGAAATTAAAATTTTAAAAATGTCATAACTAAGTTAAAAAAGCATTAATTTCAATTCAGAAATCGTTCCTATGCTAGTTTTTATAAGGTTAATAAATCTGCCTACTCAATTTAATATTTGAAACCATATCATTTTTTGTCGATTTTTGAAAATTTGAATGATGTAACCCCTTATAAGACTTTAAAAAATTTTTAAAAATTTTGAAATTTGTTTTTTCAACCGGACATTGTATATCAAATCAGCTGTTGATGCTGATCAAGAATATATATGATATAAAGGGTCGGAATAAAGTCCTTCTTGAGTAGCAAGATTCTGACTGATATAATAAAACTCTGGAACTCTATAAAAATCATATTTTAAGGATTCCTTTATTAAGTCTTATTTGATTGTTAAATAATAAAAATAAATATTTGTAGATAAGAAAAACCAAAAGCTAGTTGAGCCTTTTGTTTTCCAAGTGTACTTTTGTCAAAGATTCTTAGAAGGGGGGCTTGGAGCTCGGAGCTTGGAGGTAATATGTATGGTAGGGGGTGCTGGAGGATTGTGGGCCTGGAGAATGGGGTGACGACACTGACGATGTCTGTGCGTGCGTGGCGTGGCCCGAATCCTTTTGTGCGGGCTGTTGGAAACGACCTTCATAAAACAAACACGCCGATAATGAGTGAACAGTCGTCGTAGGTTTCTGGTGGTGGTCGGTCTCCTTCTGAAAGCAGATGGCAGAGCCGTGCCAGGCCACGAAATTGGAGCTACTACCATGTCACCTCCTCGGCCTTTCTCTCTCTCACTCAATTCAACGGATTTCCCGGTTCCCTTTGTGAGTGCAACTAACTGGGCGATAATCGGCATTTGATTTGGTGCCGGCGAAAACTTTTCTCAAGAGTTTACCTCTTTGCCAGTCGATTTTCCTCAGCATTTTCCCCACTCTCCCACTCTCTCTCTCTCCCTCTCTTTTTGATTGTGAAGTCAACTCCTGCTAGCCTTCCTTTTTGGCCAGAGTTATGTGATGGCAGAGGCGGAGGCCTTGGGCAAATCGATTTTGGTCTGACGAAATTTTAAAGGTTCAGGAAAGTGGTTGAGGAGAATCCAGGAAAATGGGTTGATTTCGGCGGTGAATGGTGAATGGTAATGATGTGTGCCACCATAAATGGTTTACGGATAATTGTTGCTACTTAAATATGGTCGAAAAAAAGAACTTGCACAAAATTTTGATACTTAAAGAGTGCTTGACTTTAAGGCTTACTTTAAGATGAACTACGTAATAATAAATTCAACTTCTTTGTAGATTTTATTCTTGGTCTTTATTTATTAAAAGATCTGTGCCTCAGATACCCATGGGTATACTTCACAGTAAAATGTTTCTGTTGAAAATGAATAGAATTATTTTCAAACTAAAACTACCAAGAAAAGCTCTTCGTTTAGTATCTTTTGATTCCAGTTAAATCAACTTCTAATTTTCTTTGAATCCAAAAGGATTTCTCATAGATTTTTTAAAATAAAATATGAATTATAAATGGAATTTGAATTTCTAGATGAAAGCACTTCATTTTGATTAAAGAAAATGGCAATTCTATGAAATATTCTATTCCCAATAGTAAAATCCTCAACAAACGTTTATACTTTCAGGGAATATTTTTAGTGACTTTTGCTCTCTGCATAAATCAAGATACACATTACTTCAAAGGTTTATGCTTTTCCCTTAAACATTTCTCAGCTTTAATCTAATAATATACATTTTTTTTCGGGGGATTCCTTTTAAACTCGGTCTGAACTCTTTTTGCTTTGCTGTTTTACCTGGGCAACATTAAGCCAGTTAAGGAGCGGAAGTCATGTTGGCTCCGGCCTGCCGCCTGCCGCCGCCCACCTGCTAAATTTGCATAAAAGATGCTTTTCGCTTTTCACTTTCCTCCCCCGCCCCCTGCCGCACAGCAAAAGAAATGAAAGCTCGAGAGCTGCAAATATCTCAGGACGGACGGAAAGGCTTCCTTTGCCGGCTTGTTGCCCTGGCAGCCGAGGGAAATAAAATATTTTTTGGCCAGGCCAGAGATGAGAGGGGGAAAATGTAAACTAAACACAGCAAGAAGAGCTGTACACAAAAAAAAAGGGAAATAGCAACACATGGAATTTTCCGTTCTCTCTTTCTTTTTTTTCGCTTTTTTGTTTATCTGTTGTCGTGTGGAATTAACTTAACGAAAACGGAAATGGAAAATGGAAATGGAAGCTGCTGATGCTGCTGGGTGCACACAGGGGCAATATGGCCAGTGTCAAGGCCCCGGCCAAGGATGATCTCCAACAGCTGCTGTTGGCCCTTTTCCGCCATTTCCTCGGGCTTCTTTGTTACGGTTTTCTTTGTAGCATTTTTCCCCTGCTAATCATACACGGTTAGCAGGGTGCTGTGGGGTGACTCGGTTTCCTCACGGTTGCGTCGGGAAAGCGGCCTCAAAACTTGCCAATAATTGCAGCAGTAAATGAAGAGAGCTATGGGAATGGGGGATATTATCATTGAACCAGAAATTATTCCATGAAAATAGCAATTCAGAGTGGTCATAGGAAAGTTGTAGAGACTTTAAATTACCTAAAATTGCATCTAAGAGTATGCTTATGTTTTACATCATTCTTTTTGTCTTACAGATATTTTAGATAGATTTTTACCATGTAAATTGTCTCTCCAAGCTCACTTTAACTCCCCTGACATTACTTTTACTATAGAGTTCAATAGAAAAATATCTCACTTAAGCAGCTTAGCAACAGCCAAGTTAGGGTTGCTATAACCATCATCAGATTGTTATGGGCCTGCTCTTCCTTGGACCCTAAAACAAGTGGCACTTATCACTTATATAGCTGGAACTTAAGAGATGATGTTGTCCTTACCGTCGCTGGTTGTAAAGTTTCCACCGTCCGTCATATTGTTCGTAAAAAGAAGAACTTTACTATTTCGCTGAAGAGTCCAAGGAGTACTGACACAATTTCAGTTTATTTGAAGGCAAGAGCTTAACTGGGCTCTAAGTAACAGCTGTTTTCCTATCTATGGCTTTGTGTGGTTACTTATCACTAATTGAATTGTCTTGGTTATTGGTCAGTTAAATTTGATAAGACACTTTGATTATTCATAAAAAGGTGTTGTGGTTGTTCAATGTTTGTCGAAGAGCTTTAATTATTTGTTTTGAAAATGATCTTATAAGCCAGGAAATAGATACCATTTTCCCTGTCATATTCGACTGCCTTACTTTGGTCTCAATTTCACTTTCAATTGCATGTATTGGAATAATTCCATTGAGATATCTATTTATAGTGCAGGCTCTTACCTCATTCATTCTCCTCCCCCCAAAAAAAGCGGAGCAATTCCCTTTCACCTGCTCTGCTCACCTTTCACAATTGTAACTGTTATTGAAGGCGTTGCTGTTTATCATTTGCCGCATTGCATGACTATAGCTACTATATCAATATCGGCGGATACCGAGACACACTCCCTTCCGTATCTCTGAGGCCTCCCCATTGCCATTGACACGCCGAAATAAAGGCAAATGGCTGGAACCACTAATAAAACCCAAAACTTGCATTTATGGCCAAAACAAACAAATATTATTGACAAAATTATGGCCGGCGCCCAAAACAAAATACAAAGAGTATAAAAAATGTTGTTCCTTCGAAGAGAAGGAGGGAGTATCAAGTGCAATGCCTGCCTTGGGTTCCCACGTAAGTTTCCTTGACATGAAAACCTTAAAACTAGGCAGAGGCTTAAAGTGAAAATAAAGAATATATATTACTTTATCAAGAGAAAAAGGAATATAAAGCAAACAAGAAATTCCTTTTGTAATTTCATATGATTACTGAAAGCCTCAATGACATCGGTTAAGTTATTTCGCATTAACTTCAATTTGTGTCACTCTCGTTTCAATGGGAACGTCAAGGACATGACGAGTATGTCAAGACATCAGCATTTCACATATTATTAGCAATTTCATAATTATAATTGGCGGGAGTAGGAAGGAAGGATGGAAGATCCCAAGCTCCCTGGGGAGGTCCCTCTTCACATTTTGCCAACGAGCTCTCAAAGCGCAGAATGAAGTGAAATAAAGCGAAGCATTTCACGATGCAGCCGAGTCAAAGGAAGGCTGTGGGTTTTCACATATACCTAAATATATATATGTATATATATAAAGAAAGCCACATAAATGTTTCCTTTCTCCAGCTGCCTTCCTTTTTCCTGCTCCTGCTGCTGTTCCTGCTCCTGCTCCTTCAGCTTCTACTTTTCCCTTTCAATGAATGATGAATGCCTGATATCTCTTCCTCTCTGCTTTTTCGCTTACATTTCACCGAGTGTGTGTGGGGTCCTGTCGTAATGAAATTAAATATTTAAGCCCGCAATGCCTGAATGGACAGGATCTGAGAGGGGGGCATGGGGCTGGAAAAGTACGGGGTAACACACTCATAACTTTGTGCCTTCTGTTTCACAACGCTGCTGTGGTTTTTTCGCCCCTTTGAATTGCGTGGATTAGGATTAGGATTTGGATTAGCGATGCGCAGGATACCCACTTTGGGACCACGTCATTGCAGCTGCAAATGGCGCCGGATTAAGGCAACTATACTGCAGTGTTACATAACCAACTTCAACTCCATTCCCTTCCCCTTTTTGGCCCATTTTGAAGTCCTTTTGGAACGTGTGCTACTGGCTAACACCTCGAAAAACTTGCCAACTTTCCACTGTCGATTATTTGCTGTCAAATCAGAATTTATTTTGGCAATGCATTCGATTTGGCAATTTTCAGGAGACCAGTGCAAGGTGCTTTCACGTCCAAAACGGAGGAAAAAGTTTGAGTTTGAAGTGTTTTATGGAAGCCAGAGAAGTTTCTGTCTATGAAATGTATATAAAAGTTAAGGGAATATGGGATTTTAATGAGTTTTCTAATAATACAAAGCTAGTTATATTTATTCACTTAAGGTACCTCAATGAAATATAACAGAACAGCATCTTTCTTTCTTCTAATTAAATTCTTGGCAAAATTTCCAAAGCCATACCCCAAAATCAATTTCCCTAAAGCACACCCTCGATTTAAATTTAAATTTCAGTTCTTAGAAACACAATCTAGCAAAATTAAAAAACCTAATCCCTGAACCTTTAAATTCTCTTCGAGTCCACCAGAAATTACGAAATTCCCCGGCAACTACATAAATAGCAAACGCATTCGAGCGGCAATGCAACAATTTTTAATTACCATTTAGGCGCTTCAACGAGCATTACGGAAAAGCGAACAAAAAATCAAGATGAAAAGCGTGAAAGATAGAGGAAATTGCTGGCAGCACTTTGGTCTCGACTTTTTTCTCGACCATTAAAAAAAAAAGAATTAAAAAGCAAACAGAAAAAATACAGAAAAAAAGGAAAATACAGCAAAAACGGCGGAAAAAAAAAGAAAAACAAACGCCAGGGAAATTAAGTCAATGTCCTGCGGGTTCAGTTGCGTTTTGGATAAATGTAATTAACCTTCAGGATCGGAAATGTTGAGTTGGGTCTACCAACTAAGGGGGAAGGAAAAAAATAAAACAGGAAGACGGGCAAAAAAAAAAACGACAACAAACAGATGCGAAATCCCTGATTATTTGGTGTAAATGATGGGTTAACATATTTCCAGGATATCTATATATATATATATAAATATCGCACAGCAGACAGTTAAGATATCTGTGGGCAAAAAATAGTCCCAGAAGAGGGGCGGAAGTAAGATTTACTCGGCATGCGGAGACATTCATCACTTTAAATAGACCACGAACCACATCATTAGGGAAGTCGCCTTGCAAATTAATTACAATCGAAGCGAAAGGTGCAAAACTTGGGGCGGAAAATTGAATGGGTGGCCAAAACGCACACATACACTTAGGAAAATAGAGATATAATAAGGGAAAGTCTATAATTTAACCTTAATGTATATAGAATATTATTTATTTTATAATATATACATTATTATTTATACTATTTATTTAGTTTCAATAAATGGAAACGTAAAAGAAAAAGAAACACAGATTTTAAAGCAGTAGAATATAATTCAATGAAATGCTTAGAATTCCCATATGAGAACTTCGAAAACTTCTCAAAAGTTCTAACTAACTTCGCCTTCGAATTTTAATCTTTTATTAGTTTCAAATTTTCTGTAATATTTACACACATATTTTTTTTTTTTGGTGCAGAATCAATGGCAAACAAACTGAGCAGCCAAGAAACCCCCCGAAAATCCGAAATCCAAAGGCGAAATGTCCTGGCCAACAATGGAAGCACTGCTGTAATTACCTTCTCACACACACAGAGACACTCGCACTCACACTCCCGGATAAAGACGGTCACACACACATAATTAACTCGATAATGAGGACAAAACCCATAGCCACACGAAGAGAGGACCCAAGCCCCGATCCCGAGCACCCAAGTTGTCGCAAATGTATGTAATGGCGTGTTACAGTTGTTGTTCCTGCGGTTAGCCCGGGGGGCACCCAGGAGACCCTTCTACCATCCCACATCCCTATAACCAACCCCAACCCCAACCCCTATCTCTATTAGGTTTTGTTTGCCACGATAATGACTTCCGCTTCGACAGAGCCGTGGATGACAGAACCGGAATTTGTAATTGCTCCTAAGCGTTTGCCATTCTCGATCTCAATTTCCAGCCTTTGCCTTTGATTTCGCAGGAAAACCCCCCTTACCTTTTTTTGCCCACACATATCCTTAGGAAAGCGACTCTGTGTGTGTTTTTGGCTCAAAATTTATACGCATTTGACCTGAATGCCTCTGCCTAACACAGAAAACAAGGAAAAAGGTGTGAAAAACTATGCAGGAAAATTGCAGGGCATATAGGATTGGTTAGGCGGCGACACTACAAAGTGTTTGCTATGCTAATTCCTGAAAAAGGGAAGAATTATATTTACTCGTTGCGGCAATTGTCGGAACCAGTTTGCAAATTGCAAAAAATAAAATGATAAATAAGTAAAGGAAGCTAGGAAAAGAAAAGGTATCAGACCGGAAACAAATTAACACGTCCTTCAAGCTCCTTAATAGGAAACCTTAAAGGAACATGTGATAACTTTTTTTTTTAAATTTGATTTTTCATTTCAGAATACAACCTTAAACTTTGGTAAAACCCAGCAAAAATAGGAACCACTTTTTCAAAGAAATAAAACTTCCAATGAAAACTTCCCTCCATACAAAATTCCCTTTGGGTTTTTACCCATTTAATTTCACTTAATTTCTTTCCATTGCAAAACAGAAATAATAAGCACAATCCCAATGGGGGAAAGCCTGGAATATTTCATGATTAAGGGCAATTGAATTACACATTACCATATAGCCAAGTTAATTCCTCTGGAGATGGCCAAGATACAGAATGGCGGAGCAACAGAACCCCTTACATTTATCGCAGTTTACATTCCAATTGCCATTTTGCCATTTGCCAGTGGTGTTTGGGTTTGGGTTTCGGTTTGGGCTTTTGGGTGGCAGAAACCCCGTTTGATTGCGGTAAAATGCTAATTAACAGAGCATTGCTCCAGTTTGGGGCAAAACTTTAACCAACTGACAAATGACTAGCAGGCAGGGGTTACCAGGGGTTAAGGGAACACTTTAGAGCGCACACATTTCTTTAAAGTTTTTGAGCTCGACTCTTTGGCTTTAACGTGGCCTAAATATTAATGGCCGCATTACGTATACGCCGCGATCCAAGCTCAAGTGAACACTGACCTGCCCAGGGAATTGTCGGTCTTAAATTCATATCAAAAAATATATATAGTATATACATATATATATAGATTAAATATTCTCTTGCACCGGATTCGGTGCTGCTTTGCTTTAATATTTATAGCAAAGTCCCAGGAGGACCGAATGGCTTTTGTGCGCGGCCCTCTTCCCTTGGTCTCTCTATTTGTGAAATTTAAGCACGGAAAAGGTTCGCATATTAAATGCCAGCGAGTTATCTCTGCACCGTCGTCCGTCTGCCTTTTGGCTCTAAACTTGTTGGTTCCACTGGGGGATTCGGTTTTGTTTGGTAATTTGTGGAGTGCCCGCCACTGCCGCCTGGTGAACCCAACTGAACTCGGGGGGCGATTTCAATTGGCTGCGGATGGATTTAATATAAGGTTTTGCGAACGGTGGCAGATTAGGTGTTTTCCCAGCCCCATTTTCCTATTCCTGATAAAGTTAGCACTGTGCTTATATAGTAAGCTCCATTTGGCGGTGGTTTAAACGCTTTGAGGCTCTAATTCAGCGCTTATCTTTCGATTAAGCCTTGAGAAAAGCCTTAAGAAAATGGTAAATTAATAATAATTAGTAGACATGGCATAAATAATAAGTTGTATTGAATATTTAAGCAGAGTTTTATGTAAATTCTAATAGTATTTTTTAAATACATTTAGCTTATTTTCTTTAGGCAATTTTTAAAGTGCCAGACAAGCAGTCAATAAGCATAATATACCCTCTTTTGACTATGTTAACCCCTTGGGCATTACACTCGTCTATTCCCAGTAGTGTTTATTTTTATAGTTCATTCAAATTGTCATTGCCAAAGTCCTTGGGTGGAAATTAATTACATCCTTTTTGCACATCGCCAACTGTCGCTCCTCTCTTTCTCTGTTCAGCACTCGATAAATGTATTGATCACCCAGATATCGCATATAGCTCATCCGCCCCGTTGGCTCCCGTCCTTCCTTTGCATTTTCCTCAATTGCAATTATAGAAACAAGCCACACACACACAGACAGAGCGAGATGGGGAAAACGGGGGTTTTGCATATTTCATAGTAGCTACGCATAAGTGACACTTGTCAAAACACATTTTCCACACCCAGCTCCAAGCCCCACGCCCGTCCGCTTTCCCTTTTGGCCAGAGGCAAAAAAGCATATTTCAAGTGCGGCACTTCATGTGCGTCAAACAGGGACGGACGGACCGACTGTGCACCATCGCCATCAAAAGCGAACCGAACAGCGAACAGTGAACACTGAGCACTGAACACTGAACACTGAGCTCTGAACACTGAACAGAACTGAAAAAGTGCTCAAGTCGAAAGCCCTCGAGTTGTTTTGCAACATTTGCAACACGTCAAGTTTTTTAAGGTCAACATATCGCTGGCAGGCAGGCCAGACATGAGGCATCAGACATGGCTAACACCCTGCGGGGGAGAGTGTGTGCATTTTTTGGCGGAAGGGGAAGGGATGCGAAGAGATGGAAAAGGGTTAGACGGTTGGCCATTATGTTGGCCCAAACAGGCAGAAGAACGCCATTTGCATTCGCAGTCATTGTCGCACAGCTGGACATGGTTTTTTTTAAGTTCCATTCTGCATTTTTTTAAATGCTTGGATTTTATTTCAGTTACAGATATTTTAGAAATATTACTATTACTGAGGTAAAAGTTGAGGCAGACAGCAGCTATAAAAGCCTTTATAAGGATATACATATGTACAATCCCTCTTGCAATTACAAACCGAACAAGATCCTAGCTTTAAGGATAGAAATATTATTAATTATTAAATAATCTAAAACGTATACTAGTTTAAAAATATGCTCAGAATATAATTGGCAATATCTACACTTGATATCATACACCATTTAGGATCTTTTGTTTTATTTTCACTTGCCTGAAGCATTAATGCCACTTTCCTTAAATGAAAGACATACCAAAATCCCTCATAAGAACTCTTTTTCCTTCATTGATATCCCCAAAGTCCAGCCCCCACACTAGCTTTAGTCTGTAGGAAAAATGCCCTTTTCTTTAGCTAAATTTCCCCCTTTCTCCCTTCGACATTTATTGTTACTTAGCTTTGGGGGGTGCAGATCCAAGGCTGGCTCTTAGCTCTACGAATGCCTTGTTTACTCTTTGGATGTTCTTTCACGGCTTTATATAAGGAAAGAGAACACATGTGTGTGTACCTTAGTGTGTGTGTGTGTAAGTGTGTGTGTGTGCGGTTCGGTCTCGTTGGAAAAACACTTTTTCACAAAATTTTGCTCAAAAAGAATGTTAGACAAACCGCTTTGTTGGCAACAATTTGGGTTAAAACTTAAGTGTTTTGCTTCTAGTTGAAACCAAGCAGCATCCCTTCCTCTCTACCTCTGCCATCCCCTTGGCCGCAACCCCTTAAATTCTTTGGCATTGCAGTGCTTTTGGCCTGGCTTAAAACGAACGCAAGAAAAGGCAGGCAGGCAAGGAAAGGAAAGCAAAAAAGGCAACTAGGAAAAACCAACAAAGTTGGACGGGGGGACAAAACGTGAAAATGTTTTTGTGCTTTTCCCTTTCATGCATTCCAAGCCAAGACGCAGCAGGGAAGGAGGTAAATTGTCCTTTTAACTTCGTTCGCAGCTGCTGCTACTGCTGCTGTTCCATATAAATTTTGTTAAAATTCAGCGCTGCACTTTCACTTTTCTCCTAAGCAGAAAAAAAAACAAAAGCTCTTCAAGAGCCACAATGAGCGGAAAGTATGTATTTAGGGAAGCTCCTAAACGGGCTTCCTCATTAGACCAACTGCAAAAACTCAACAGTCATTAAACAAATGAAAACTAGAAGGGTTACAGGCGGGGTTTTATAAGAAATCCATACTATCTAAGATGGTTCTTGGGTGGGACGATAGAAAAAATCTTATACAAATATTATATTGCATATTAAACTGGTTCCAAAATAAGGAAGAGAAATGAAGGCTCTTTAAAGGGTATGTATTTTCCTTTAGTCATGAATCAGAACCAAATAATAATTTGGTTGTATTATTTTTACAATAATCTCTGGCAACCCTTCTACAAGCCTAGGTCTTATCGATATTATTTGCAATACCTTGTTCACACTACATTCCTTTAATCATATATTTAAATTCTTTATGCCTCAATGACAAACCCTATTTAACCCCTTTTAAGAAGTAATTATATTAAACCTTAAGTAATGTGCAATGTGCTTAGCTGTAACTCAAAATTTCCGCCTCCAGCCAATGTGCGTTGCATTGGGCTAATTTGATTGAAAGTTTTTGGATCAAGTTTTGTGTGGGTAGTCGTCCTTCTACACATATACCACAAATCTGAGGCCACATCAAAGCAAAAGTTGATGCAAATATATGCCCCGTAGCCGAAACCCCACTGAAACCAAAATCCGGACCCATACCAAGCCCAACTCGAAAACCAACCGAAAACCGAGCCATTCAAATGTAAGCAAGTCTGAAGTCGCAGATGAATTTGTTTGTTCACATTTTGGGGCTGCATTATTGGATATCTCAGCTCGAACTTAACTAATTTTAAAGTTTTCCAAATGAGAGATCTTCCTCTCTGTGTGTGGCGCAAGTTCTGGTAAAAGTTTCCATGGAATTAGTTGCAATTTTCAGCATCTGGGGAAAATTTTACATTTACTTGGGCAGAGAGACATTGAGAGTGTGACGCAAGAGCCCAGGGAAAAGGAGGAAATTGTCTACAGCTGCTTGCGGTTGAGCTTCATCGTCATCATCGGCAAGCATCCTCCTCCTCTCGTCATCTTCAGCGTTGACACTTTAAAGTTTTGCAAGAATGTACAGAGGCAAGTTCACGACTCGGTAAACAATTTGTAAGCCATTCCTAATGAAATTTCAAGTAATTGTTATTCGAGTTACATTTTTGAAGAGGCTCCAAGCGGCTTCTGTAGCTCTATTTAAAGATCTTGTTTGGGAGTTTATTTAAAGTTTGCACAAATTGTGCTTGAAAATGATATAGCAAGAAATTATTTAATTTGCATAGCAAAGTATAACATGAACTTTTGAAGAGTAAACAAATTATATGTTTTAATGCTAATTTTGTGTTTTTATGTTTTATACATTTACTTTTTATTGTTTTAAAATAAGCTGAGACTTAAATGCCTTCGTGTAGAGCTGCCTTTGGGCCTCTACTATATTTTCTTCATAAACTTTCATTGGACGCACACCATTTTTTGTATCATTTCCACTGTTTCAAATTTTCATATAACTATATTACCTCGTGCAGAGCAGCCTTTGGTCTCTGCCATTTGTAATTATTTTCACCAATGAGAGATTTGTTAGAAGTGCGATTCCATAGGTAAAACTTTGTGAGTGACTCCATGAGCAATAAATAATATTAATATAGCAAATACAGTAGGCATTCCATAGTGAAAAAGTTAAAAATAATGTAAGCATTTGTACATATTTTTAATCATTGATAAGTAATTGTGAGCAATTATATTTTTTGCTTACAAAATTGAAATATAATAAATTTTTTTATCAAATATTAATTTTCAGAAACTTATTGCCATTGAAAGAACCCCACATCAACGGAACAACCTGAGATTGGTATTCGCGAATACAAGAAACCTCAATGCAAGCTATTAAATTTGGACTGTTCCTTTGGTAAGTAATGTTTATATTCATTTGAAAGACAAATAACCAAAAAATACTACCAAAGTTGGCTGCATGTGCTGACTCTGTTCCAGAAATTGTTGGCAAAATTTCGCCAATTCATTATTGCCTGCACAGACGAACCGGATTTCGTGGATGTGATTGTCTTCAATGATATGCCCTTGAAGTGTTACCAAAGGCATAAGAACGTGAACTGTCCGAGAAAATACTGCCAGCACTGCAGGGTGAATAAATTGGTTTCCTATATAAACAATGCCAAGGTGTGTATGGATATTGCCCACCTGGTCTTTACCAGTCAGAAGATATACGACGCCGTGTTGGCCGCCTGGTACAGGGGCGTAAACATCCGCTTCGTCACCGATTCCGAAATGTTACATGTTCACGGTTCCAAAATCCGGAAGCTCTGCTCTCATAACATTCCCATTCATGTGGCTGCCCAGAAAACTCTAATGCACCACAAGTTTGCCATCATTGATGGTGAGCAGCGGATCCTTCAGCTGGACAGTAAAGAGAGGAAAAAGGCGGCCCGCGTCTTGAAACGCCGTGGAATCGTTATGACCGGCTCCCTGAATTGGACCATTCAAGGTACCCAGAATAACTTTGAGAACGTGGTCATCACATCCAATCGCAAGGTGAATGCACGCTACCAACTGATCTTTGATAATTTGTACAACGTTTACGAAGAGCTAAAAATCATTTTCAATGAATACGAACCCAATGAAGTAGTAAGGATTCCAGACAAAAGTGCTAAGAATTATTTTTAGAAAGAAAAGGAGGCTCTTTCTTGGAATGCATTTGAATAAAATAAATGAAACATGGCCTAAGAAGATTATTTTCTTTTTGAAGTTAAAGAAGAGTTTCGTATTTGTAGTCGCGATTCTATATTTCTTCAATAATCAAAAAGCAAGCTGGAAAATCAACAACTTCGTTTCTCATAAGGTAATCTTGGAACCTTGACATAAAGATCTTTAAGAATGTTTATACATATTAATTGCCATCTGAAAGTGATCTAGCGGTCTCCCTCTATATAACTTTGAAATAAAATTTCAAGAGTCTTATAAGCCATCTCAAAGGTTATTGTCGAAACCTGTTACCTCTTCACCCTGAAATCAACTCTAAAACGTTCCTTTTCTTTTGCTTTATTGCAGTCGAAAAGTTTTGGCCAGCTCTTTTTTTGTAACTTCTATTGGCAACTTCTACACCCGTTACCTGTTACACATGATGCCGACGAATATTGCCAGTTAACCAAGTTAACAACAAATCCACCATCCAACCGCCCCCAAGGTTCCCTCGATTCTTTTGTTGTTGATTACACTTTGGACGGTCATAAATTTGTATCAGAGAGCGTGGAAACTCACAGAGAAGCTGTATAAAAAAAAATACGAGAAAACTCTATCAGCGCAAAAAGTTTTTATTTTACCTCAGCGAGTTCAAGTGAAACTTGAGTGCTGCACAGATGGAGGAGTTGTGAGAAAAAAAGAAGGCAACTAGATTCGCGGCTGAAATTTTCATTAACTGATGGTGTATATCGGTATCGAGGAAAATGGCAGTCGTTCAAGGGTCCCCGCAGAAGTCAATTGGAGGAGACTTGTTTGGAAATATATAAACATATACAGATATATATTGAGGTTGATGGTTGGGCCAGAATTAGTAGTCGTTGTCCTCCCGATTTCGCTGTATGTCGTGGTCCTTGCTGCCATACTGGGTATTGTAATTGGCCACCAGCTTCCTGGTCGTGTTCACCATGTTGGCCAGATCCTGGATGGGCTTCTCCAAGGTGCTCACATAACATTCGAAATTCGCCCGTGAATTTTGATTCTTGAAGTTTCGCACAAAGCTCTCCAGAGTGTTGATCATGGCTCCATGCTGTTTGGCCACTTCAAGGATCTTGATGCGGGGCGTCAAGCTCTGGCCGGGATTCAGATCGGAGGGGGACACAGTGTTGCTCTTTTTGCGGGGGCTGGAATAACTGGGTTCGTCCGATGATATGGTTATGCAATTGTTCTTGTTGTCATTATCATTATCATTGTCGTCCTCGACGTAATCATCCACGTACGGAATCTCCTCTTCTTCTGACATCTCTGGCTCCAGATGCTGCGGCGATGGCTGTCCATTTTCTTCATATTTCTCCTCATTCGATTCCTGACAGTCATCGTCCTTGGCCACCAGTTCCTTGACTCTATCGGCATATCGCAATGTATTCAGGGTATGCTCCACGCAGTTCATTGCGGGCGAAATCATGGCTATCATACATGTCTTGTTCTTCTTGCCACCCACAAAGGAGTCGCGTAGCACTTGGGTGAGCTTGGATCCACGGAAAGGCAGATGACTGGACTGGCGGCTCAGCGCCCGAATGCATTCCTTGAGGGCCAACAGGCTCTTGTTGATCTCAGCGCCCTCAATGCGGGTCTGGCGATCCGCCGACTGCGTGTCCGCTCCTCGCTCATTGCCCGCCAGGTCCACGAAGGAGCACTTGCCGTAGGGACCCCAAGAATCGGGCAGGTGGAGGGCCATCTGAAAGACAGCATGGGAACGCGAAGACTTGGCATTCGCCGAGGTCTGTCCCGAGGTGCGCATCTTGTTGCCCATCTCTATCAGGCGAAGGACATCGTCCACCTTGGTCACCGGCATCTCCTTGAGACCCACCACTACGACCTGCTGCCGCCCATCCTCGAGGACTCGCAGCTGTGGTTTTTCAGGCTGCAAAAGGTCAAACACCTTGGGGCCATAGATCTCAAAGTAGCTGCACGTGATCTTGGCCCCCATCTGGCGGTACTCCTGTCGCGATACCTCCTGGAACACATCCCTGGCTGCCATGGCGTAAATGCCGCTGCTGCAATCTTGCGATTTGCCACAGAATTCACCGCCCATTGTGTGGGTCTTGCCACTCCCGGTTTGCCCATAGGCGAAACAGGTGGCATTGCCACCCTCGAACATGGTCCGGATCAGGGGCCGAGCTGTGTGGTCATAGACCAAGGAATTGGAGCATTCCTCGTCGAAGGTGTAGTCGAAGCGAAACTTGTGATGCTCCAGATACTTGGTGAGGTCCACCTTGTAGCGCAACTCGTGAATGATCAGGGAATCGTGAGAGGGCACCGTGACAATGTCTATGTTCCTCATGCGTTCCTCCCGACGCGCCAACGGTCGCTTGCGGACACAGACCGTGATCTGGAGTACGGCATCGCCATGAGGATTCAGACTTCGCAGCGGATTGATGGTCAGTGTTTCGCGGTATTGACGCAGCATGATGGCCGCCTCCCAGTTGGGATTACCCGGATCCTGGCGACGTAGCGCATCCTTCTCCAGCAGCTGCTCGGCTTGGCGAGCGCGTCGCAGCTCTCGTTCCTCCTTCAAGCGATTCACTTCGTGGACCACATTGGAGCAGCGCTGGGTACCCGCAACGCTTGTATTATTCACGTTCTGAGACTTGCGTCCATAGATTGGACTAGCATTCCGGACACTGGCCAGGGAGATGCGTGCAGTGTTGGGACCGACACCGACAACGGCACCGACACCGACAGCTCCGGCTCCAGCACTGGCAGTACGATTGGTGGCGACTACATGTGGAATCAAGGTTCTTTTGGGTGCTGGCAACTTGGTGGGCACCCTCAGGCGGTCTGTGGTATACGGGCTGCCACTAAGCTGCTTTCTAAACTCCATTTTGGCGAGTATTCCACCACCACCTCCCCTGTCCAGGACAGGCTTCGGAATCGAAGACCCTGTTTCACTCGGAATACAAAGCTTGCCAAATGATTTTGATAATAACGATGGCTTCCGCGGCGTGTAGCCCACTTGCTTCTTGAATATATGGGGATTGATGTCCACCAGCTGGCGTAGAGCCACGTCCTTGCCCTTGATTACCGATCCTTCCTCCCACTCGCCAGTAATCAGCTCGAGTTCTAAATTCTTTCCTATGCAGGTTACCGATTGCATTCGTCCGTTGCTTCTCTGGAAGTAGAGCTTATCGCCGATCTGAATGCGATCCATATATATTTATATAAATTCGGATGTTATATATCCGGAGTGGTGTATGCAATTAATGGCGTTTTTAATAAAATATTTCAGTTTCGGTTACGATATTTATATATATACGACTTGGCTGCTATAATTTACTGTTGAGTGTGAGGTTGGGTTTGGTAACTTTTCGTTTTGTTGCGACAATTTCAACTTACGTTCTAGACGAGGCCTGCTTTTTCCTATAATTATTACTTTTTTTATTATTTTATTTGTTTTTTTAATATTTTTTTGTAAGTTTTTGATTAGAATTGTGCAAAAGGTTTCAAGCCGAAAAGTTTGACTGCTTCTCTAAGTCTTTTTCGAAGTCGTTCAACTGAACTACTTTGATTTGATATTTTTCTATATTATCTCAAAGCTACTCGGACTTGGACTTTGCTTTATTTTGAAAAAAAAATTTTGTGTAGAATCATCCACCGATTCAGCATTTTCAGTTCAAAAACTCCCATTGGGTAACCCTATAGAGTTAAAGGGGTTTTCTTTCTTAAAGTGGTGTCAGGTTGGTCCTGGATTCCCTTTTTTCTCTCAAAGCAATTTTATGGTTAACATGTTTGGAGGGTGTTGGCTCGTAAATTCCTTTGCTGGTTGCTTTTTGGGGTTAGCAGCTTCTTTTGATATATGGCCATTGCTTCGTTACGGGTTAGTACTTTTCAAATTAGATTTCTCTTTTCTGTGTGGTGTGTGTGTGTCATAAACTCACAGAAAGGTTCTTCTATATATTTACACACAGGCGAACCCAAAACCAAACACACATTCTGTAAATAAATAGCTGATGCTGGAAGCTGCCGTTTCGTTGTCTAGACTTCTCTGATTGGAGGACAATTAAAAGAACACACACACACACATGGCAATGGGAATCCCTTCGAGAGCCTTGGGAGAAGGGATCAAACAACATGCTGTCCCCTGACCAGTCAGGTGTAAAAACTAATTTACGGCAATTTCTTGCCGAATAACCCACCCAAAAAAAATAAACCACAAAACGAAACCTCAAGGTGAAAAGTTTTTCTGTTTTTTTGGGGTAACTGCAATTCCAGGATAGGTTGTTACACAAGAAGAAATTATAGTTCTGGATTTCGTAGTAAGTATTTTATTAACACAAGTCCTAATATAATTTTATTTCCATGGAAGTTAATTAAAGAATCAAAACTAAAAGACACAAAATAATTAACTTAGAGCCGAAGTTGATATACCCTTGCAGGTTGCCATTAAATTATAGGATCGAATTGAAAATCGATCATATCTTAGTTTAAAATATTAACATTCTTTGAATCGATAGTTATTGATATTTTTATATGAAAATTTTTTGACAAACCAAAGTTGAAAAAACTCATAACTAAGCCAAAAATTCATTAATTTTAGTTCGGAAAGCTTTCCTATGTTAGTTTTTCGTAGACCAATAAATCTGCATTCTCATTTAAAAATGTAAAAAAATTAAAATTTTTGCGTATTTTTTTGTTCAATTTTAATGAAATTTTGTTCAATTTTAGGAAAAACTAAAATAAAAAAATTTTCTTTCCAAGTCAGCTAGATCGATTCGGCTGTTGATGCTGATCAAGAATATATATGATTTATAGGGTCGGAAATGACTCCTTCACGGCGTTACCAGCTTCTGACTAGAATTATAATACCCTGTAAGGGTATAAAAAATATTCAGCCAGGACTTGAACCGTCTAAGGTCGGTGCAAGCAGGATAGAAAAACTATAACAACTTGATACATATTTCTTGTTTACAGATATTCATAAGTTTATTACTTTATTATTTCAACTAGATCTCCTCTGGTATATAACTATAAAATCTAACATCATATCTCCAATCTTAATTTTTTTCTCTGCACTTTCCCTTTCTGGTCTAGTTTTGGTTATCAGTTACTGGGTCACCATCGGGGGGTATGGACCATAAATCTCATGGAGGCTGCTGCTGCTGCCGTTGCAGCAATCAAGCCCTGTGCAATCTCAATCTGCATCAGAAATCAGCGAGAAGCAGTGCCAACTTGTCAGGGACAAATAGATAGGACGACCGAGCGAGCGAATGAACAGTCCACTGGAAATGGGAGATGGTAGATGGGAAATGGCGTCAAGGGCGCCATAAATGAGAATTTCCGTTTCATTTCCGCCCCGTTTGTTTGCGATTGTGTGTTGTGTGTGTGTGTGGTAAGGTTCATTTGTGGCGCATAATGAGCAGGCAAAAGCGTCGTGGCTCTGTATCGATTTTCATTTAAAGTGGCAGGACTGGACTCCTTCGCCTAATGGCATTTGGTAGCCCGAATTTATGGCAACTTGACCTCGGCCATTTGTCAGCATTCGAGCACAATTACGAGGTGAAACCGAAGCTGAAGGAGAATGCAATTTCGGGGGGCAAAGCACAGCAAATATGGGTCAACCCCAGTTCTCCATACAATTCAATTAAATGCACAGCCTCCACGGAAAAGTGAAAAGTCTCTCGGGCGAATATTTATGGCGGGAAGCTTGGGAAAAGAAGAATAAAGCTCGTAGGCGGCAAGGCAAGGACACATAAATTTGCTTACCCCTGACACGATAAGCGGGAAACATGTTGATACACAGGCGAAATAAAATATATATATATATATATATATGTGGATGTCGCCTGAATGGAGACCAGGACACCAGAACACCAGCATAGGGATAGGACACAACCGCAAACCCTAAAGATTTATGCGGAAATAATCGTTGGGGCCATAAATTATAGCCAGCAGCTAGACGGAAATCTCCGCTCCGTTACATCGATAAACCATCGAGATGTCAGTCACAAAATAACACTTAGTTCAAATCAAAACACACACACACACACACACACACGACACAATACACACAAAACACGGTTTAATATTAATTTATTAAAAATATAAATTAGAAAATAGCGTATTAGGTAGCAAGTTTATGTTGTTATAATGATGCGAAAGGTAACAAGACGAGGCACAATGGTAACCGACGAAAATATACCGTATGTACTGTAAGTCTTGGAATATTGGAAAATGTTACTTCTCTTTTTTTTTACTTGTAATCCTTTTTAGAAACGAATCAGAGAAACAGAGCTTGGAGGGTAGCTTCAGTTCGGTAAATCGAAGTCCCTGTTTGAGCCAAGAAAACATAACACGGTGAGAGATTGATTAAATCTCATTTTAACATATATAGTAACTTTCCAGAGTTGCCTAGATTATAATCCAATTTAAAATAAAACAAAAACTAGCTATTAATATATATTATTTCCTAGGACATACTTGCTCCTGCTGGACTACAAACAATTCAAGGCTACCCAGACCATCCAACGCACCTGGCGGCGCTTCCATCGTCGTTGCCAGTTTCTCAGCAGAACCAAGGCGGCCATCACCATACAACGCTGGTGGCGTGGATTTTTGGCCCGAAACAAGCAAGTAAGCTTCGTGGAAAACATGCTACAGGATAGGGTAGTCCGTCACTACCACAAATCGGCCACCAAGATCCAGGCCCTGTTCCGAGGCTGGAGGATCCGCCAGACAGTGCATGACAACAGTCGTTTGCGTAAAATGCAGGTCTGTGCCGCTGAGGATTTGCTCAATTGTGTCGCCTTCAAGCTGCATCATTTGCTAAGGACCTATTCCATACCCGGGGTGTACTCTCTGAGGAACTCCAAGTGGGTTGTCTTCTTACTAATTTTATTTATATTTTGTGGTGAATGATTTTTCTTTTGTTTCCCAAAGCTGCTTGTCGCGCGTAGAGAAACTGCTGGCTAGCCTCCACTTCCGGTTCCGCAATGGCCGCATAAAATCACAAATAGTGTGTGCGGACGGTCAGAGAGGTGAGGAGTTGGACTCAAGAAGAAGCCATTGCCAACAAAAAGTTCAAGCAACTCATACCCAATACTGGAGCCAATGCAAGTCCCACTGCTATGACTACTTGAGAGTATACAAAGACATGGACAGGCGGATGTACAGGATCATTGAGATGTACGATGCGGCACAGAAGAAGGCTGCCTTGCTAATGAAAAATAGTGAGTGGGGAAAGGGAATTTATGGTCACTGATCTTGATCAAATTATCCCTTTATAGAACCATATAAAATGCTCCTGGAGAAAGTCAAAAAGACGGGAGAAAAGAACAAGCACGATTTCTGTGGCGATGTCATCGAGAGTATGCGACGCTGGAACTTTTTGGTTGAGAAAAAAATCAAAGTGGATAAGAATGTGTTTAAAAATCCCGAGGTTCTGGAAAAATTTCTCACTGAAATTTCGGAACTCGCTCAGGAGTATGATAATTGCTCCTGTTACTGCCACATTCCTGTATTCGATGAAATCTATTGCGGTTAGAGATTTTCTGATATAGAAACCCAGAGAAAATTAAAGTCCAGAGTGTTACTATTTTGAACAGACGATTTATTTAAAAAGGGGGCCACACAAGATCTCAGTAAGCACTATACCATTTACAGAACCAAATCCTTTCAGTAGAATATTGCGCGAAAGATGTCGACTGGGGATGAACTAGTTAGTTAGTTTAAAACTCTGAGGATAGTGCATCGCAGCCAACTCACCGAACATATTGCCAAAGAATCTCAAAAGCACGGTGACAAATGAGGGTCTTTCAATGTAGCTATATATTGTTGTTATTTCATCTATTTTTGTTTAGGAAATGTTGGTAATTTAGTAACTTATCCTTACCAATTAATGGCATGAGAAATTACCTATGCGCTCGCAATCTAATCGTTCATTGTCCAAGTTATAGTTCGGGTTAACTTGTCCTATAGGCGCCTGCACTGGGGCCTCTGTTGTCACATCAGCCATATCAGATCCACCTGCCGCCATCGTGGACTTACTTAATTTGGATTAATATTAAAGAAGTAATACTTTCACTAAACTAGAAATTTCGATTTAGTTATTGCTGACTTATTTATTGTATGAGAAACTCTCCGTGTTCGTGTTCGATTGAGACTGAGAATTTGTTGCTAGGGATACCAAAGGGAAGGTAAGACGACTTATGTGTCAAGGATTGCTCTGATCGAATTAAGCACTCGTATTCTAAAGCAACCATTTTTCGTAATATAAAAGACATCTAATTTAGCCATATTTACCTCCTGGCCACCAGCTGCGAATTATGGTCCAAGTGTGCGATTTATGATGTAAACTTTTTTAAAAGCAAAAACATTAAGCATTCGCAATGTATATACAAACGAATGCGAGGTGGGATTTTCCTGGGTAGCCTGTCCCTCAACGGGCATAAATTAAGGCCAGTTGCTGTTGCTTTTAATTAGACACTAAAGCTCGGCAAAAGGCCAGGGACGACTTCTCCTTCTTCTGGTTACGACATCAAAACAGAGGATCTCACAGTGGGGGATGCTGGTAATTGTACGACTGGCTCATCATCATCTCCATAATAATCAGCATCCTCAGATATGCAATTAAAGGACAAACGAAAAATGTGTCTTGGTCAGGCGCTGTCATCGTCGCCCAGGGACAAATATATATACATATATTTCCCAGACTCCTATCCACATATATACAATATATATAATATATATACGACTGAAATTAACCATATTCATCAGGACCACAGCTAAATGCAACATTTTTGGCCGCTAATGACGAGGCAACATCGTCGTTGTTGTCGTCTTGAATGCTGAACTTGTATTGCCACGGGGCCAGGCTCTTTATCACTTGGTTAATTACTTATGTTATGTTGATTCTACCACCCCCCTGACCCAGGACTAACCTGCCTGACATTCTGTTGGCCAGTTTCTATCGTCGTTTCTGGCAAACGAATTTCGTTTAATTTGTGGCCAACATGTCAGGTCGGTTGCTCCGGTCTCTTGACATGTTCGTTTCAGTGGCATTATTATAATGAACCCCATGGCTCCATGGCTGGCAGGCAGGTGGTCTTTGGTCTTAAAGTTGTCATAGGTCTTTAAAGGATACAGAATAATATACAAAAGGTATGAAATACAAGTTAGTTACCAAGAGTTAATATATTTAGCGAAGAAGAACTAACAAATGGAATGATTGCCGAATAATTAACCCAAGCCCATAGTTTTATCAAATAATAATCCTGCTAGAATCCTGCTTCCGCTCTGTTTAAGCCACGGCTCAAACTTATATAAAGCCCCACATCAAGGCTAAAGACAGGGACAACTCAAACTGAAATGAAATCGTAAAAAATACAACTGTCTAATTTAAGCTTATTAAAAACTTTTTCAGTGACATTTTTTTTTTTTTTTTTGCCAAACATTTGGCAGGACTAAAAGCAACTTTGCCATTTGTTATTTTTATTCGCTCGCTGTCCTCTCTCGCTGTCAAGCCGCTTTGCAAACATTTTGGCCACGGTTTTTAGCCATCATCGAAATGGATTCCTAAAAATAACAGTTGCACTTGGTGGAAATACCATTTCACTTTCGGTTCAGTTTTAATGCACATTGTGTGCGGTTCTTGGGCCGCGAAAATTTGCGCTTCGGCTTTTTCCGCTGCTTAATTAAATGTGTTAAGAGCTGCAACTTTGTTGGCCCAGCAGCTGTTGGCCAAGATAGTTGACAGATTTTCGAGAGAGCTGCCACGGCAGCTGGGCAAGGTTCTTGATTATGGTTAAGCCGGTAAGAGTAATAAAAATTGAAACCTTTATTTAGTTGCTTGGTTTGGTTTATTTAATGTCCTGCCTGCTAATGAGCATATGTCCAAACAGGACCCCTTTCATGTGGGCTGAAGGGGCCAACTGTGACCACAACACACAGGACATTCAAATGTTTCCTTTCAAATTAATTAGAAGTTTGCGGTAAGGGCAGAACCACCCCATCATCATCAGCATCCGCATCCGCATTGATGGCTGGCCAAGCCCCAAGTGTAGGCCACAAAATGGTTTTTGGCCAACAATGAAATCTGAGTTGTAATTGCCGGCACACAAACATATAATTAACTAAATAATGAGATGAGCAAGAGAGGGAGTGGCTTGGGCGGTGTCTTAGCCATTTTGGCCGTTGTTAACGGCATTCGTAATTGCCTTTGATATGTTCAGCCACACTTGGTCGCCAGACCGGGGGTTTCTTTTTTTCAATTAATGTTTCTGCCAAAATGTCTTTCCAGGTACACACACCACACACAACCATTCGTGTTTGCTTTCACTTGCAGCAAGACGGTGTAAAAGTTTTTTAATTTATTGGCCATAAATTCAACAACATTTTGGCCATCACTGGCACCTGCACCGCACCGAAGCAGTTAAGGTAACTGAAGAAATTTGCCCGCGAGGGAATGGATAATTCTTTGGTTCCGTTTTAGAATTGGAAAAAACCTTGTCTAATTACCTTGTTGAAATTAAAATGACATCTTTGGTTGTTAAATTAATTCCGTTGCAATAAATACCACGTTCATTTCTGCTATTAATAGTAATTCCACTTTAGAATATTAACAGATAACACCCATTTGTTAAGAGGTTTTAACAAAACCTTAAACCCTAGATCTGATTGCGATTCTGTCATCTCAACTTCTTTGCTGACTTGACATCTTCGATAAGAATGTAAGGATAATGAGTGAAAGGTCAGTTCAAGAGAAGACCATTTCATTAACTCAGTTACTGTGCAGTCCTCTTTGAAATCGGTATATAAAATGCAGAAATTGCTGGCTTTCTTTCACGAATACGCCCTGGTCATAGGTCTGACTTCCTATAGATTTGTGAACGGCAGGTTTCAACAGACTAGAATAACTAAGACTTATGTATGGATTGTAAATCTTGGACTTTTGGCAGCTTTGCCCTACTGCATGTGGGAAGTTTCCAAGTTCAATTCGTCCATCTCTCTATATCCGCGATTTGTAAAAACAGTGCCGTATGTCCTCGATTCCATCAACAATGCAGTAATTCTGTACGCGTTGGTTTTGCGTGGCCGTCGGGATAAAATTCTCTTGGAAATGGATAGGTTAATCACTCAGGTGAATCGTGAGATGTCCAAATCCGGAAAGAATACGAGCTCAAAGCTATGCAAAGTGCTCTATTTGAAGATTTGTTTAGTTGCATCCCGATCGCTGCACAATTTGATGCAGTGTTTTATTTACGGATTACCAGTGGAATTTCGTTTTAAGCCGCGAATATCATGTCTTATAGTGACCATTGGCAAGAACTTGGTAGTTGCCAGCACATTCCAATACTTTCTTGTATTCTGGAACATTGCCCGAGGCTATGATTTCATCAATGAGCGCATAGATGAGCTTATTCCGCAGTCGAAGTCTAAAAAGAAGGAAATTTCACGACTGTGGGATTTGCACTTCAAGCTTGGTCGAACTTTTACACGGATAAATCGACTTTTTGGTCCTCAAATGCTGACTGCTCGATTAAATTACTTTTCCTACACCGTCATGAATAGTTACTTTGGCATTCTACTCTGGAACGAAAAAAGCACACCCAATTTCTTTATGTGTATGTGGTCCATCGTGTTCTTACTGCACACCATGAGTTCCTTCCTGAGTGACTATATTATCGGCCTAGCGACTGAAACTCAGAGTAAACGTAGAGACTCGATTACCGAAGAAAATGGAACTATGTCTAAGGAGGTAAGTTAAAAATGCATATTAAATAATATTGTGCTAAAATTGTGGTTTATTTCTAGACAAGTGCTTATATCATTTATGAAACCAGCATGAAGTTTGACGGAAAGATTTGTGGACTCTTCAAAGCCAATTTAATGACTTGGCTTCAAATGATGGAATTGATACTATGCCACTTTATAGTTTTGCTGCAGTTTCATTTAATTTTTGGCAGCAAGTAGAAAATAAGAAATATCAACAAATGAGTAAATAATATTTAAGTGCTTTGCTCAACACCCAATGTAGTCTTAAAAGACCCGTGTTTGTCGCTTTAATTGAGATTGAAAACTGCTCGTTCTCTTTGAGCCATGAAATATGCTTCTTCTCTTAACAAATTAGTTCAAAAGGTTAAAACCAAGGCGAGGTAAGGAGTTACCTAGAAACTGGTAGAGGGAGAAAGACAAAGAGCAAGCGATTAACATTTATTGGGTCTGAACTTTAATTTGCCTTGGCTTTTGGCCGAAAGGGAAACTCACCTCGCTGGCGCTGGCCTGTTGGCCATTTGACATTCGAACTGCTTCTAGATTTATGGGATTGCCTGTGTCGATTACTTGGCCATAAATCTTCAGTTTCGGTGTTTGCTTATGGTCAGCAGTTCAGCCGATTTGCCCGATTTAACCCCAAACTATAGTAAATATGTGTATGCACGCATTGTTTTCTCGATTTTCCCTTCCATTGTCTAGGCTATATTCCTGGCTTCTCCACTGACAGCAAACAAATTTACGATTCATGCTTGGAATATTGTAAATTTTTCCACGTTTTTGTTGCTTTTATTCTTCATCATTGCACCATTAACAGGTTAACTCATTTTAAATGAAATCTCCGCTGAGCGAAATATAAATATATGAACTGGGGGAGGGAAAAAAACAGCGCAGGACCTCTTCTAATTTGCAAAGTTTTTACGCTGACTGAACTTTAACCCTGCCGCAGGTGTTAAAATGATTTGCAAAATGCAAAACTTTCCGTTATAAATTCATAGCCATACATATATTAAAGAGAAACAAAAAAAAAAAAAAAATAAGGAGAACAAGAAACAGAAAGCGAAAGAAGTTAAAATTGCTCAAGTTTTATATATATGTATACATAGAGTTCATACATTTCTCCCACTTTTTCCGCCGGTGAAATATGCAAAAAGTTTAATCAAATTCCCCCAGCAAATCGCGTTGTACTAAATCGTATTTTGTAGTTTTCCCAAGCATTGCACGTAAATTAAACACATAAATATATTTGAAAATATGAGAAAATAAACAAAACTAAAGCCTTGACCGTAAAGATCTCAAAAACTATAAAAGCTAGAATTACTAAATTTGGTTATAACATTCTTATAAGTTTTATGCAGATTAAGTTGCTTATAAATTTGTGCCAGCCTAAAATCTCGAGCAGCCCCAAAA